TGTGTGTCATCTATCACACAGTCTCTAAGTACAAGAATTCATATCATTTCTCAAGTAGTACAATATAAGATCAGACAGTAACAACCTTAGGTACATGCTTGTTATCTTGTAGTTATGTGTACTACTCTGTGACTTCAACACGAACAGGGTTCTATGAACCTCACTTCTATACAGGATGCACAAGCAAGGCAGCAAGGACTCTTGTAGGTATTTCTGCCTCCTTCGGTCTTCACTAAGCAAAAAAAAAATATGGATGGTGTTATTGCAGTCCTTAAAAACAGCATGTGAAAGCTTGTGCTTCATTCACTATTTTTGTAATAAGCATTACTTTGTCTGAGGCATGGGCTCCTGATGTTTCCTGCCTCACTGACAATGTTGAAATGAAATTTCAGCTGAAGTAGAATGAGAGGTCCAGACTGTTGCTCAACAATTTAGTACTGATAGGAGCAAGAACAGAACTAGATTCAGGTTTTGGATTAGTTATCCCCACAAAGCCCCTAGGCAGAGACATTAATAACACATCTCTGGAAATAGGTACATTCTCTGATTATACTGTTACAATTAAGGACTTGGATTAGGACTAATATGGAAGAAAATGGGAGCAAAAGAGAGAAGTAGAGGGCAATCAGGAATAGAGCCAGTATATCACCTAACATGAGGTACTCCATCTTAAAATACTTCAAAACTCTTTGGAAATGCTAGCATCAATTATAATGGAGCATGCTATAGGCCTAAGTACAATTGACTGGGGAGAAATTTACTTAAAATATTGCATTTTCCCTTAAAACACATGTAATTAGGGTCAAACATATATAAACAGCAAAAATGTCAAAATTAATTAAAGCTCCTGTGGTGGGCTCCTAAACCTCAGTATCCCAAGGATCTTTTGCTTTGTGAAATGAGGTTTCTACTCAAATGTTTAACTTGTATAGCTCCCTCTGGTTCATTCTGAGCTCCTGTATTCCTGGTTTTTATTTTATAGAACTGGTTGGAAGCTGGGATTCCCATTCCATGGGCAATTCTGAATTTCTTTTAATGTCATTTCTAAAGTGGAAGGAAAATTAGAATTTGAGAATTTCACATGGAAGAGAAATTTTGAAATGTTTTTCTCAAAGAGTCAAAACCTTAGTTCACTTTGGCCTTGTTTGACAGTTTCCTAGACTTTTCAAGCTCCTTGAAGTCCCAGCAGTCTACCAGGCAGACGTCAGATCACTCCTAGGGCTACTGGGCTGCTGTTGAGGCTAGGACAGCCAGCTCTGGGACAGTGCATCCAGCTGGTTTTGAAAGAGCCAGGAGCCTGGAAGACCAGGCTGCCAAAGACTTGAACAGGTGAACTGGCAGGAAACCAAATAGGTTTTGCAGTCTGCCTGGTTGTCATCAGCATTTCATCAAAACTGACATGTTCCTAGGGAACACATTTCCATTTTGAAAAATTGGCATTTTCCACCAGAACATTCCTTTAGAAAATCTCCAATTAGTTCTAGTGTTTTCTTTTTGTTGAATGCGCATAGACTGGATACAGTTGTGAGAAGTGATATCCAAACCTTCTCATGAATGCCTTACCTGCATGGTTATTTTGCAAAAGCCCACAGAATGAGTAAATCCTAATTGTTAAATGAATGACACAGGCTGGCAGCTTTTCCTGATATTTTCCTGAGGAAATGCCAGATGCTACTGTTGAAACTGCATATCCTTGGAAAATGCAGTACCCATGCTGGACACCAGATAGAGCTTCCTTGGCCGGTGCTTTTTTTGATCTTGTCTCAAACTGCTGCTGTTGAATTGTGTGAAGTGTCAAGTGTATGTTATTTGGTGCTAGTGTGTCCAAACAAACCGTGTAACAGGGAAACTTGGAACAATAATAAAACTGTTATACACAGTGCAACATTTGGCATTCAGTCAGTCAAATGTCTCCCCATCTGTAATATTAGTATTAATAATCATAGTAATCCCTAGTTCTTGTATATTACTTTTCATCTGGAGATTTCCGGGCACCCAGCAGAAGAAGGTAAATATAATTGTCGCAGTTTTGCCAGGAGGAAAACTGAAACAGGGTCGTGTAGAGACTTGTCTAAGGAGAAAGCCTAAATTTTCCAATCATGACAGTGTTTTATCCACTGGACCATGCCATCTCCTTTACTGTAGATTAGGAATAGTTCTGTTGTACCACATACCCTTTCTCTCTGACTAATGAGTAAGGCTATTTAAAAAATGTCTTGTCACAGATGGCTAAGATGTAAAAAATGTTCACAAATATTTGTTCATATTTTAAACAGCAGTGTGAATGTGTGGGCACTTCCAGTGTGTGTTTTCCACAAATATTCTAGCAGATGAATTTATTGGCAAGAATATTTGCTGAAGCAGCCAGTTTTAATCTAATTTGCAGAATGTCCACAGAAAAAAAATGTTGAATATATGTTCATGAATATTTGCAATTTTAGCAGTACCAAATAAATCCACTGAATGTCCACTCAAAACAGCTTGCATTTCAAATATCAAATACTGTTAGTAAGATGCTCACAAATAAACTACAGACTAAGAATTATCCACAGAGATTATTTATCAGATAATTTCAAAATAATGGTTACATTTGTGAGTGGTGCTGTCTGTGGACAAATTTGTAAAGAGAAAAAGACAAAATTCAACAATTAAATTACAAATTATTTTCTTAGATCTGCTACTAAGGAAGACATATTTGGTTGTTTATATTCAGTTGTTTATACTTAAACATGTCTTTTATCACCTGATGACTTCTTCAGCCAATCCAAGTACAGAAATTTCCACAAATCTCATTATAAGATTTGTACAACATTTCTCAAATCTGATCAGTTAAGATCATGGCTTCTCAGTAAGGGGGTTATGGACAAGCCCATGGGCTTTATAATCATCTTCCTTTCTTTTATACCTCATTGAGAAAGAGATATCCATGCCTTTTTTTCCTGTTGTAATATGTAGCCATAGTTGGGAGTGAGATGAGAACCACACGGGGTTAAACAATTTTCTAGCTCAGTGAACGCAATATAAACCTCATTGTGTTTATCCAGTTTATTCCTTCCTTTTTTTTTTTTTTTTTTAATGAAGTCATGGCATATCGTTGCTTATCCAAATGCTTCTAGCAGTTGGTTTCATTATCATAATCTTATTCAAGGGCTGCTGGCTTTCTCTGTTTTGTATACTAAATAATTTGTATAATTTAGTGCTTTTGCTGTTTCCAGCACGTGGTAATAATAAAATACTAATATAAATAAAAATTGGATCAAATTATAACTTCCTGTACACTCATGTGCAGCCCCAGAAAAGTTCTCAATAGGAATCTGAAGTATGATAAATAGCTCTAGTAAAAGTCCCTATGCGTAGTTATAGAAAAAAGTTGTATTTGCTGGCTTGATGTCATCAGAAGTCCATTTTTCATGGATGCTAGGTATGATCATAACAGTGAAATACGAATCTTTCAGAAGTGTGATGTAAAACCCATGTAAGACTACATTTTTATAATCCCTGGATCGTAATGTGTGAACTATCTGAAGTCAACTGCATGATGATTGGCTGAGTAACTGCTAATGTCAATGCAGCACCTCTAGGAATGCATACTTGCCTCTCTGTTTTAAAACCTGATGGACACATACAAATATCTCAATTTTTTAAAATTTTGTTTTGTTCTTTTTTTTTGGAGTCATTTTATCTAACAAATGACATTGGCTGGATAAGAATGTGGACAGCAACAGAAGAGTTATTTAAACTTTAAGGCCCTTTTTCCTATTCAAATCTTGATTCCCTTCCAGAATATAAAATTTAAGAGGTAGAATATGTCCATAGAAGCCTATATTCACTCACCTAAGCACCTCAATGACATCACAGTATCCACAAATTTTATTCACATGCTTCTTATGATGTCACTAGACATGTCTGATATGTCTTTGTAGCTTTTCAGCTCACATGTGATACATTGTGTCCATCACACACATTCATCTCATCATATATAAATATATGAATGTCATGTTTATTTATATGATTGTGAAGATTGTTCCTATTAATTCTCAAGGACATAGTTAAACCACACAAACTATGTGCATAGAAGCTATAGTTTGCCTTCAAGAAAATGTAAATCAGAGCATTTTACAGTTTGTTTGTTTGTTTGTTTTTAAATATATAGACTTTTTACTTTGAATGGCAGGGCAGGATCCTGCCTATTTACTTTTGCTCTGTTCTCCCTCTGTTTTTCTTTTTTTTCCTTGCACATATCTCAGTGCTTAATGATAAGCTTGCCACTTATACAGCAGAAAAAAAGAACGAATGATGAGCAAGATCTTTGTGGGATTCATTTTGGTGTGTTTCATTTTGTAAATCAAGCCTTCCCATGCCTAGTAGCGTATAACACATTCACAGCTCAAAGCCATTATTGTTATCTCATACTCTTTATTGTTATGGTACATTAATACTCTGATATATTTTTAATGTCACAGTTACTGAAACACAAATTTGGATGAATGATTTTCTTCATATAAGCAAGAATGAAATAAAACCCATAAAATTTTATTTACTATAATGTATTTTCCCCTGCACTCAGCATGCTCCACTGATGTACTTTTTGCATTAATAAAATTATTTCAGTACTCTTTAAGTACCCTTTCAGAGAAATGTTATAATGTAAGTTGTCTGATTCTGTTTTAAGTGAAGGAGAAAACCTGGTAGAGGTTGTCTCTTTAAATCAGATCTGCAGTGTTGATGGACCCTCTAGCAGGCATGGTAAGAACCATTCTCACCTCTGCAGCAGGGAGCTTGACCATATAGACTCATACATTCAATCAAAACGTTTTCCCTTTTAATATGCACTGTACCAGTCCTATTCCCATGGTTACAGCTCGTGCTTCTTTGGTTGCTTCCAGTCTGTTGGAAAAGGGAGGCAGCATACATTCCTTGTACAGGAGTTTAAAACCTAATGAAAGCAACCCTGTTGTGATTTGCATTTTAAATGTTTCTTTTTTTTTCTCATTGTACAGAATGCTGTAGCAGTAGCTTCAGTTCATTTGCCACAGTCTGTCTTCTCTCAGTCTTCAGCCTTGCAATCTGTTGATAACTCCACTTGCAAGCTACAGTTTATTGTCTTTCGGAATGGAAAACTCTTTCCTAGCACAGGAAACTCATCAAATCTTGCAGATGACGGGAAACGTAGGACTGTTGCCACACCAGCTGTGTTTGCTAAAATAGGTGAGGAGTTGTTATGCATTATATCCTTTAATCTGAAAGCTACAGTATACTTGGTTATGTAGGGAATGGAGCAGCAGAATATACAGTATGCTGGGAGGCTGCGATCTGTCTGTTTCTTCTGCACAAGTGCTTGGATTTATTCCTCTTCATATGATTTTATGCAAATTCCCTTATAAATCTGTGAAATGTAATCACAAAATAAAAATTTGGGATCACTGTTTACTTATATTATTATTTCAGAAGCTTATATCTCAAACCAAGGTGACTTAGAAAAGAACCTGGTTTTAATCTTTGCAATGAAAATTGCAGTACTAACATCCTAGACACAGATAGGTAGATAAATAAGATTGTGTGGGGTTTTAATGCCCTGTTGCATGTATCTTAATGTTCATCGGTGTACTTTTTGATATGATGGTCCTACAGCAGGTGTTGATAGAGGCTTTTGCCTAAATGTGATGGATCTTATAGGCTAGTGAGTCACTATTTTGATAAATTATTCAGCCAGACAATTTTAATAATTTGATTTGATTCTGAGTAGTGTTCACATTTCTATTAGCATTTTTAAAAATGTTTTAATATGACTTTCAAAGCACAGAATTGTTTTAGCTATTAATCATACAATAAAACTGAGCCCTGTTTGCAGTTATGTGAGTGAATAGCGTAATTTTAGTCATAATTTAAGACTGAAACAACCAATTGAGCTTTATGAAGAATGATTAGATCATTTGGACAATGTAACAAGCTGAAATAGTCATTCAGATTAATTTAAACTGTAGCAAACTTTTCTGGATTTGAATATTATCTATGATTTCAATGTACACAGACAGGAATATGTGGCAACTGCTTTGTTTTCCATAGTTCAGTACATTTGATTCATAGACTCATAGACATTTGTGAAGCTCTGTAGTATTCATCAATAAAGGGTTTTCCAGTCCATTTCCCTGATTCAGTTTGTTGCTTTTGCAGATGGGTGCAGTTTCGGAAACCTCACCAGCCCTCTTACTCTAGGCTTGAGGCACTTTGAACGGGGTATAGACCCTATTGCAGCGTTTTGGGATTTTGACCTTCTAGATGGACATGGAGGCTGGTGGGGAGAAGGGTGCCACATAATTAGCTCTTCAGGCAATATTACAACCATTCAGAGTACACACTTCAGTAACTTTGCAGTGCTAATGGTGAGTATATGACTTAGAAAATATACCTATATATAAATGTTCCTTCTATATATATGTGTATCATCCTTGCTTGACAGTAACTGTAGTTTCTTTTGTCATGATGTTTTATGGAAGCAAGCCTTAAAGACAAGTAAGTTATTTAACAGCTAATAAATGAATTAACCTGATGGTCAGCTCAGTCTAATATTCAGAGACAGGCCCAGTTATAAATGGCATTTAACTCTTTCTTGACAGAAGAAAGTTCCATAAGAGAATGATCAAGATAGAGAGGTTATAATTTGTAAGACAGGGTTTGAGAAATGTATGCTCATTTTTGCCTTTACTTCAGTATATTTCAGTAGGCTGGTCTGCTTTTGTTCCTGCCTTACACTGTGTTGATCATACTAATTAGTTGCAGGCATACTGCAATGTTGAATCATTTAATAAATGGAAGTGAATAGCATCTCATGCTCTTTTAAACGAGGACTTTTTTGTCTTTGTTGTTGTTCTGCGAGTTTTAGTTTGTATACTGATGATGTTAGCCTTTTTGCTAAATTGCTATTCATGGAGAAAAATATTTCTGTGCAGTGCTAACCTATCAGGTTGCCTTGGTCTGTTCTCAGTCACACTTACAGCTCCCATTGCAGTTATTTAACTACCATGCTTCACAGAAAGTTACCTTAATGAAAACAGAAGGTACACGTATGCAATAATTACTGATTTTTTTTTAAATTATTTTTTTGCAAAAGACAGGAGAGCATAGTAAAAAAAGTAAGCTAGCTAGCAAAAAATTATGTTGGTGAAAATTTGTTGCTCTATTAAAAATGGTCATTGTGAACCAATTGCAGGGAGACTAGCCACATGCCTAATACTGAATGATCTCAATACTTGTGCATGATTGCATTGTAGGAGATTCTTGTCTACTTTACTGAAAGGTTTATGTTGAGTAAATAATGTATTGTGAGTATGTGTAAAGGATAGCAAACATAGGCGACAGGAATGGAGAGGACGTGTGCAGAGAATACCAATCTGCTGCTGTCAGATGGAGCCCAGCTGTCAGCCAATCATTGCACAAGGCTGTGACAATGAGTAGTTAAATGCGGATATTATTGTCTACTTTGTAAGAACTGATTTCCCTCAGAGTTACTAGATCATTTTTTTTCTACCCATTTTAGACTGGTTCAGATTTTAGCATCCTGTTCCTGAAGATTAGTTGATCTTAAACATATCTCATCTTTTTACAGCTCAAATGCACTTTTTTTTCCCCTCGGACATTTGTGTGGGTTTTTCCAAGTGGTAAACACAGTTTTGTTCTGAGGGTATTTTTTCTAAATATTTTAAAGAAAACACATGTTCGCTTTGCAGGTACCACGCCCAAAATGGCTGTCTCTTTCTAGAACTGTTTAAGTTCACTTTATGATACTTCACTTTGCTTAGTTATTAAGCAGTAGTTAATAATTTACAAACAATTCATTACAGTTCATTTAAAGAATTCATTTACTTGTTTTGCCCATGGAAATCATGTCCTGATATAAGTATTTCATTTTATATTGTACATTTGAATAAAAGTTGTTTCATATTCACTATATCCTGTGAAGTACAACAGGATTTTTTAGGACCTTTATAGATGATGTCTTTCTCCTAGAGAATGTAGTATTGGGTTTTGTTAATTAAACTTTCCTTTTTTCTATATGCTTCTCTCATTTTTGACCTGTACAAACAAACAAACAAAAAATGTATCTTTCATACTCTACTCACCTTAATTATGGTTACAGCTCCAAAAATGTAATATGGCACCTACTTTTTTGAGAAAAGAGATTAAAAGTGTCTTTATAGCATTCACCCAGATTAATTTTCCCAATCTTTCAGAAAAACTAGGAGACTTTAACATAATTAATTATGTGCATTAATTGCTGTAAAAATAAATATAATTATAAAAGATACATCTCCATAAAAATGGAGATGTATTGGCTTTGAATTAAAATAAGAACTTCTGTTTTTTTCATTGGTCATAGTAGAGTAGGACTGTGGCAACCTTGATCAAACTATGGACCACATAACAACACTCTGCCCTCTATACAAATTTAACGGTGACATTGCAGAAAGACACTCCCTTTCCTCAAGAGCATTAGACTGGTTAACTAACCTTAAACTGGACTTATAATTGTTGCTCCAAGTCAGCCATATACAAGAAGAATAAAAAGTAGAGTAGAGAGTAGTAAAGACTCTTATTATTATACTTAGCTATTAAGTTATAAACCATTTAAAATATCTGTCTCTATCCAACACCATCAAACCTGAATAACTACTCTATTTTATTCAGGTAATATTGGTAATAGAAAATTAAAAATAGGTGGCATGTTCAGTAAAATAAAAATTATCCTTTTACATTATAAAACTCTACAATACAACCCTAAATATAAAGAACTATGAAAATTCACAATTGATTACTATGTTGTGGGCTAATGGCAGTAAACTGAAATAATAGGAATTAAGTGAAGTGCAGCAGTAAAGTAACAGAGAACCTGGAGGCTTGCATTGCTATCAGAATAATGTATATCCTGCTGTGAAACAAGATGAAGTAGGTGGCTAAATTAATCCAGCTGTGCATTGTACTACTCATACAGCACATGCTCAGATTCATCATTGCTATTATGTGTTTGACAGGCTGTCATCATTTCTTTTGAATATCTGGAGAGGAATATTGAGTTATTTCTTGCGAGTTTTTATTGTCCATGATACAAAAATATGTTTAAGTCTAGGATTGGCAGAAGTCTTTTTCAGAGAGATAGTTTTAGTATTGTTTTCACTTAAGCTAAGTACAGACATTCAGAAAACCTGAGGCAGAATCGATTTAAGTTGCACGGTTTTCTGGAAGCAGCATAGGTTAGATCGGTAGCGAACAGAACCCACATTTACCCTTTGGTAGTGGGGACACGCAGGCTCCCTGCACTGGCCAAGGCCAGCAGGTTGGAAGTGCTCCTATATGTGTCCCAGTAGGACCCATGGGCTCCCCAGGCTGCCAGAGACTACCAAACACAGCCAAGTGGCCAAGACACCCCTGATTGGCTGCCAGGCATAGGCAAGCACTCCTCCTCCCCCTGCCACATTGTCTGTCAGCCATAGGCATCTATCAGCTGCAGACAGGCAGTGTGGGGAGGGAAGGGGGGCAGCTGTGTCCCTGCACAAACCCCATCAAAAAGCACCCCACAGTGTATGCACAGACCTGACAGTGAGCCCAGGAAAACCTTTGCGAGCAGGTGCAGCCCCATGGAGCCCTACCAGGCTGCTGGGCACAAGCAAACATTTCCTCCGTCCGCTTCACACTGCCTGCCTGCAGCTGACCAATGTCTGTGGGTGATAGATTCATAGATGGTAAGGCTGGAAGGGACCTCAGAAGATCATTGGGTCCAGCCCTCTGCACCAAGCAGGAAAGATAACAGGGGGTCACCAAGGTGACTGTCTAGTCTCCTCTTGAAGATTTCCAGGGTAGGTGATGTACCACCTCTGGAGAGAGCTTATTCCACAGTCTGGACACCCTGACTGTGAAGAAGTTTTTCCTAATGTTGAGCTTGAATCGATCTTCCAGGAGTTTGTGGCCATTACTCCTAGTTTTCCCCTCAGATGCCCTGGTGAACAGTTGCTCACTGAGTCCTTGATGTACTCCCCTAGTGTAGCAGTAAGCTGCTACCAGGTCCCCTCTCAGCCTTCTTTTCCTCAGGCTAAACAGTCCCAGACCCCTCAGCCTTTTCTTGTATGGCTTGCCTTTTAAGACTCTGATTATACAGGTGGCTCTTCTTTAGACTCTCTCAAGCTTGTTCACACCCTTGTTAAAGTGTGGTGCCCAGACCTGGACATGGCGGGGGAGAAGGGAGAATGCTTGCCCATGCCTGGCAGTCCAGTTGGGCTCCAGGAGGCTGTGCCTGCTCGTGAAGGTTCTCCTGGGCTCGGTGTCAGGTCAGTGTGTACCTTTTTTTGGTTTCATGATGGAGTAGGTGCAGGGACACAGACACCTTCCTTCCCCCCCACCCCCATGCCTCCTTGTGGCTGACAGCTGCCCAAAGGCAGGAGATAAGGATGCAGAAAGGGTCTGTGATGGAAAGAGTCTGTGATGACTTGGTTCTGTGACAGCTCAGGGGCAGGTCCCGCTGGGCACTCAGGTGGAGCAGCTGAGAGTGGGACGAGTGCTAGTGCACCTCCCTGCAAGGGGCGGTGGCAAGGAGCTGCAAAGGTACCTGGGATGCCGGCAGCCAGCCTGAATCAGTAGGGGAACTGGTACTGAAGTTTGATGCACCTGTCTAACTAAAATCAATTTAGTTTGAGTGCACATTGATCTAGGTCTACCTTAGACTGGGTTCCACTATTTTTAGACCAGTCTATGTGCACCAAACTTTATATTTGTACTCTCACTTTATTAAAACTAAGGCAAGTAGAAGGAACTTAAGACATGACATCAACATTTTTGCATTGTCTTATTTCCCCTGATAAATTTGTGAAAGGATGGCCTAGTGACTAGAACAGATGTTTGTCTGTTTGTCAGCCTATTGAGGAGTTCTTTACTCACCTCTAATTTGATTTTCTGTCTCAGTTTGGGTAAGTCCCCTTATTCCTCTCTGCCTTACTTTATTTATGTGTGAAATGGGTATAATAATCACCTATCACATGGCTATTCTCTCACAGAGCTACTTCTATTTCTCAGTGTCTGCAAAGCCTTTTGAGATGTTTTTATAAGTGATATATGGACTGAAGTAACCCAAATATACTGATTTATAGTAGCAAATTATGTTATGATTTCTAAAGTTTCAGTACACATAATTACTAAAGTTTATTTTACAATAAGCATGTGCTTTCAGTAGGAACAGATAACTTTGATTTGATCATTGAGGAAATGGTATTCTACTAACATTTTAATTTCTTCAAGAATATATATTTTTTATCACTAGTGTAACTTCCCACAATCTTAGCACAGGCCTAGGAAAAGTATATTCTTCCAGGTGATAAAGTAGCAAACTTTGAAATCC